AAAGGAAAAGGGGAAAGGAAAAGGGGAAAGGAAAAGGGGAAAGGAAAAAGGAAAGGGCTCTGTCTGACACCAGTCCAGCCAAGACCCACTGATGCACATGAATCTCTCAGAGCTGGAGGGAAAAATTCCTGAACTCAGCAGAGTCATGGTCTTTGTGGAGAGAAAACAACTCAGAAAAGGAGTTTGCATCTGCAGCCCTCAGAGAGGAGCGTCCCAATTTATTCTGATTTTTTGGGGCGGCACAGCTGCAGCTGGCTCTGACCGAGGATCCGCAGCATCCCTGCCAAGTGGATGTATATTATAATATACATAATATACAGTATATTTATAATAATAAATATAACAAATAGTATAATATAATATCTACAATATAATACAATACAACATACTACAATACAATACAACATAATATAAACAATAATAAATATACCAACTCTGAAGACATTTCCCCCCTTCTCCAGCATGCTTTAAAATAAACCTTCATGAATTTTATTCGCCATTTCATTGTTCTCATGACCCCTCCATCCCGCTCAGGAATGTCGGGATTCTCAAACTCCTTTTTTTGTGGTGGTTTTAGTAGAATGCTCTAATTCTATAAATAATAAATCGTACAAACAAATCATTTATTATCCAATTAAAGGCGAGCAAGAAATGAACTTGTGGGAAGGCGGCAGATTGGGGAACCCACGTAGAGGCTGGACATTGTTTTATTCACCACCAGCCAGTTCTAAATGGAAAAGCAATTAATGTGAAGGATAATTTTACAAAAAGAGAGGTGGGATTTTACCCCCAGTCATAAGACTTGATGGAAGGCCCGTGATATTTGTATAATCTCCCATTAGTGCGCCAGCACAGCCTTTTTAATGTTTAATTCCATAAATAAATCGGGCCCTTGGCGACCTTCCCTCACGGCGCTTCCCCAACTTTGTCTTCGAGGTGTTTTGAGCCCTCAGCGCCGCCGTAGCCACCGCCCTCCCGTTGGGGCGTGGCCAACGTGGAGGCTCCGCCCCTCATCGCCGATCCTATGAGGGGCGTGGTTTATCAGCAGTGATGTCACTATTTTGANTTCCTTGGGGAGGTCGGCGCCGGGCAGCCCGGGGGGCTTGGGCTGCTCCTTCAGCAGCCGCTCCCGGGCCTCCTCCTTCTCCTTGGACACGTCCTTCTTCTTGAAGCGTCTCCGGCGGCGCAGGAAGCTGCCGTTCTCGAACATGTTGTAGGAATCGGGGTCCAGGGTCCAGTAGCTGCCCTTGCCCGGTTTCTTGTCGTCGCGGGGCACCTTGACGAAGCACTCGTTGAGCGAGAGGTTGTGGCGGATGCTGTTCTGCCAGCCCTGCTTGTTCTCTCGGTAGAAAGGGAAGCGGTCCATGATGAACTGGTAAATCCCATTGAGCGTGATCTTCTTGTCGGGGGCGTTCTGGATGGCCATGGTGATGAGGGCGATGTAGCTGTAAGGTGGCTTCACCAGGTCCTTGGGGGCGGTGGGTTGGTGCGGGTGGTAGGGGCCGTAGGAGCGCCCCATGCCCGCCGCGTACTGCTCGGCGTGGCCCGAATAGACGCTCATGGGGTTGCCCATGCCGCCGTAAGTCCCGGCAGCCCGGTAGTAATTCTGCTCGCTTAAATACGGCACCACTCCCAAAGCGTTGGGGTCCGAGACGGAGTAGCGAGCCTGCATCATGGAGAGGGGCTGCCCGCGGCCGCCGAGGACAGGAGGAAGAGGAGGACGGTGGAAAGGCCTCACCCCCGTCCGGGACCCCTCCGCGGAGAAGGGAGAGAGGGAAAGAGCGGGAGAGAAAGAGAGAGAGAGTCTCGGAGCCGAGCTCAATCCCAGCGTGTCCTCTAGCAGCGGCACCGCAGCGGCATCCTCCGGGTCGCCGGGGGCAGGGTGGTCTCTGGCGGCCTCTCCCTCCCTCTGTATGACTGTGATTCTGCTACACACGCCTACGGCCCGCTGGGGAGCTGGGCTGGTGGTGGGGGGTCTGTTCTCGCAGGAAAAGGGAATTTTAAAAAAAAAAAAAAAAAAAAAAAAGCACAAACAAAACAAAAGTATAAAAAAAAATTAAAATTT